AAGCCGTCTTTGAGATCGAAAATCATCCAAATGCGAAGGTACACTTGCAATCAGATATAATGAATGGTGTGCAAATGTGTGTGGTTGTATGTGTGGCTGCCAATATGTCAAGGTTGGCTTACCTCCCCAACGCCTCCGAGCCGAACAAGGGCTTAGTAGCTGATTATGAATAAGCTCAATATATGCCGTAGGCCAAATACCCTATATCAAGGATGGCACAGGGATTTAAGGTTGTTCTACGGGTTTTGTGTTGGTGCAGGACGGCTGCGATCTTGCCTCCATGAGTAGTCGGTCAAACAGTGTTGGGCTGTGTCCTAGAACAGGGGGGTGAGCTTACGCACTGCTTGCGCGAAGCTTGCGCGCGGCTTGCGCGCATCTCCCCATCAACCACACATTTTTGGACGCATCATGAAAGAGTTTTCCCGGTAACTGGTGTTCCCAAATGAACTGGTGTTCCTGAATTTTGGTTGGCTATGCCTGCTATGGTTGGAGCCTCGCAGTACCCCAAACAATGCCGTAACAGATCGGCTCCGACACCCGAAACAACGCCGTAGAAGATCGCACTGTGTTGAGTGGATACCATAACATCAGTCGATTCTGCCTGTGCCTTGCGGGAAGCCTCTACAAACCATATATGTTTTGAGAGTTTCGAGCTAGTCCCGCGTGGTACTCTGCAAGCAGTGGTGAGTTATATGGACGCATTGAGTCGAGACCTTATACATCCGTCAATTCTTGCTGTGCCTTGCGGGAAGCTTCTACAAACCATACACATTTTCTCGATAGTTTCAAGCTTCTCCGGCGTGGCAATCTCCAAGTAGTGGTAAGTTTCTTGGTGAATGCGGCATCTTGTGAGCCTCGTGTGCCATTGTGTTTGGGGTTGTGGGCCATCTACTTGACATGTTGGGCTACCCGCTGTGCCATGGGGTTGGGCTATCTAAAGGGTGATTGGGTTATGAAACCACGCGCGCTCGTATGTTTGGTGTAGGGTGTTGAGGCTTTTTCCTTTTAGGGCTGGGGACGTTTTACGATTCAGTGTTTGTTTAAGGCATGGAGTCTTTTGGGTTTGGGGTGTAGGTTTCAGGATTCAAGGATGAAAGTTTTCGATTTTCAAAACTGCGTGATACACAATTTTTGTGAACACGCATGTCGCTAGTTTGTGGTTACACCTTCTTCAGCAGAAATATGATTTGAGCATGTTTGGATGACACAGCCACCGAAACCACCAAACCCATCCTAAAACTCCGGACCCCAGGCCCTAATTAAACCACTAGCCCGACTAAGCCACAGAGCTGCCCGCGACCCTCAACTCAGAACTGTAGATCCCCAAGTCCACACGCAAAACGTCAAGCTCTGGATTTCGGGTTTAGGTTTCGGCTCTCAATCCGCCCACTCACCCTGCTGCCTCACCTCGGATATGCTTGAGCATCAAGTGTAAATTTAAGAGCCTCCGGCTCAAGCCGCCGACCCCGCAGGAGTGAGAGGAAAGGATATGAGGGTTTAGGACAGCAGCCGTCAACGCGCGGGGGGTGCGGGGCAGATTTTGCAAAGACCGTGTCCAGTCGTGGTGATAGGGGGAGGGGGAAGGAGAAGGGGAGGGGGGGACGGGAAAGAGGAGGCCTCCCAAATAGGAGGTGGTAGGTAAACCCCAAGCCCTTTACCCTGAACATGTTCGGCCAAAAAGATCTGAAACTCCAAGCCCCAAGTAAGCCCCGAAAGCTTAACCCGTGAATCCCTAGCCCACCAACCCCCAAACCCCGAAACCCCTACCCGAACCCTACACCCTACACCCTCTTGCGTGAAAGCCCCAAAGCCTTGAGCCCAAATCCTCCGCCCTGAACCCCCACAACCTGCGGAAGCCTCAGCAAGCCGGCTAAGGTTTAGGGTTTTAGGGTTTTTAGGGTTTAGGGTTTAGGGTTTTTTAGGGATTTTAGGGTTTTAGGGATTTTAGGGCTTTTAGGGGTTAGGGTTTAATGTGGGGTAAACCCCCAAAGCCCTTCCTTGAACCCGACACAGGTCCCCAAGAGCCTGTCATAGAACCTCATAGAAGTCTCCCAAAACATCTAACAAATCTTGACGCCCAACCCTAAACCCTAAACCCTATACCCCCCACCGCCCCCGCTTCAAAAACCACAGCAACAGCAAGAACAGCCAAAACAAGAAGCGTCAAGACATCTCTAGGCCAACTTCGTGAACCTCGACCTTAAGCTTCCAAATGGTTGGTTCTCAAAGCCGCGCAGCTGCTAGGGTTCAAGGGCTTGGGGTTTTGGGTTTGGGGTTTGGGGCTTTATAATTTAAGGTTGAGGGTTCGGGGTTTGAGGTTTATAGGTTCAAGAGCTTTGGGTTTAGAGTTGAGGGCTTTGGGTTCAGGTTCAGTTTGGGGGCTTCGGCTTTAGGGTCTTCGCTTCAGGGTTTCTATCTTTAGGTATTACCCTAACCCTCCAGGTACCTACTATATAGGGTACTAGAGCCCCTAGGGCCCCATATAGTAGGTACCTGGAGGGTATGGGTTAGGGTTTCGGGTTTAGGGTTTTTTGGTTTGGAGTTTGGGTGATTGCCGGCTAGATCCATCATGGCACTTGGGTCTTGAGCCTGGAGCCGCCAGCTCTGCTGGGGGTCAGGCCCCAAACCCTGAACCCAGGGTTTGATGTAGGAGCCTTAAGAATTAGAATAGGGTTTGGGGGGTTTCTTACTTTAGTATTATATACCGCAAAACCCTATTCTATTTCAGTCAGGGCTACTGTGGTTGTTTCAATCTTGAGCAGATGCAGTTGCGTGTTGCACGTGAGGCGCTCGACCCGCTGTGCGAGGCTCAGGAAGGGAATTGAGCCACAGTAGACGCTTTTGGGGTAGTTTAGGGTTTAGGGTGTAGAACATGGCATTACAATGTTTTAGGATGTTTTGCGCAGTGGCCCATGTGCATTCTAACCCTCTGCTTGGCTGTAGGCGCAAGGGTGAGTGCAGTCCCAGCCATCGTAGGGACAGGGAGTACTAACGGCTCCAGCTCAAGTTTCCGCAGCCATGGATCCTGAAAGGTCAAGCTCTGGTAGATCCATCCTAAACCCTAAACCCTAAAACCTCAAACCCTAAGCCCTAAACCCCAAAGCCTTGATCCATCAGCAGCTTCCGATGCCAGAAGAGCACAGAGTTTCCCGCAGCGGCTTTGACGAAGTCGTATGTAAAAGTTCGAACCAAAGCTGCAAGACTCACAACTGGGTAGTTCTCTAAATTAGGGTCCTCTTTTAGGTCCCCGATATGGTACGGCATCCTCAGAAACTGGACCCCAAACGGGACCCTAGTTTAGAGAACTACCCAACGAATCCCAGCTTCATGCTGCCGAATTGGTCACCTTTTATTCTCCGCTTCGAATGGAGCTGTTGGCATGCTTGCTAATATTGTTCCGCAGTGCTCCTCTTTACAACTATGCTGCATGCTGCACTAGATCCTGACACCTTATTCTAATCATCAACGCCCCTAGACGGCATCTGCGGGCACTCGCTGAGATATGGTGGAATACTACTACCTGAACCAACGCACGGAATGGTTCTGGCCGGAGCAGGACGCGTGGCCATTTTACAGCGTTCAATGACATAGGGTTTCGGGTTTTGTGTCAGAAGACTCTGAGGTGAGTAGTCCTTTCTGTGCAATTAGCATGGTCGTTTCAATGGCACTAGTGACGAGAAGAATATCGCAGCTTAAGTTCTCAGGGCAGAGGGCGACATGGCTGGAAGGTAAGTTTTCTCATTTAAAGGGACGATACACCACATGTGCCTCGCTTTACTAGGAGGGTCGATTGGGCTTGAGCCAGAGACATAACGGCAACATCGAGCACATTCACGTGTAGATTGCTCGTAGGGTGCTTTACACCCTAAACTGAAGTCTAAAGCCTAACGCCTACCGGCTTTTCTCAATACTGAATGGTTCCTCTAAGGATTCATATACCAGATTCAACAGGAGTTTTTACAGGGGTTCCTTTAACGGCAGGGTGCAGGGTTTAGGTGTCTCCTAAGTGTAGGGTTTATAGAGTTTAGCTTTCCCTCAAGGGTTCCTTTTCTCCGTTTCCTGTGGGAGGACGCTGACCCGCCAGCTCGCGGGTGGCCGGCGTCTGTGGCAGGGCTCCAGCCCGCGCCGGGACCTCATAGCCGGTTGCACCAGCGAAGGGCTTCAGGGTTTTAGGGGTTTGCAGGTTAATTAGGCTTTTTGGGGTTCGAGGCTTAAGTAGCTTATAGGGTTGAGGGATTTAGGATTTGGGATTTAGAGTTTGAAGGTTTCGGATTTAGAGTTTCGGCCGAGTCAGGAAACCAAGATAAAATTGGGGCTTTCAGTAAGCAAAGTCTTGCTTTTAGGTACTAAGTCCCCTGAGCCCTCTCAGATGCCTCGGGCCTGCTTGGGTTGAGGGTTTCGGGCTTTGGGGTTTGGGGTTCAGGGTTTCGGGTCTAGCGGGATACTGCTTTGGGCTTTGGGGTGTGTGGATAGACTTGAAACTTCATGTTTAGTACAGGAACTTGAGTTATTACCAGTGCGAATGCTGAGGGCTTCCTTGTTCTGATGAGTGTATCATATACCCCCGATACGCTATAATACTGCCCCTGCTTGAACGATAGTTCTTGTTAGTGCCTTTAGAAGTGACTTTAAGCGTTAAACCCTACACCCTAAACCCTAACGCGGAGTGGCTATGGGCAGGTGCCCTGATCATAACTCTACTTGCCAAGTCGCCCCATACGTATGCCACACCACAGTAAGCCTAAACCCGAAACCCTAAACCCCTAAACCCGCAACCCAAAACCCGAAACCCTAAACCCTAAAACCCTAAACCTTAAACGGCCCTAGACGCTCATCTTGGCCGCTCTGCATTGCCCTGGTCAGAGATCCTTGGGCCCCCTGCAAGCCCTTAAAGTCTAAATTGATGTTAAGAGCCCCAGCCCCAAGACACCAAGCCCCAAGAATCCCTACACCTCATCCCTGATCCCTACACCCTAAACCCTACACCCTGAACCCTAAATCCTACACCCTGAACTCTAAACTCTACATCCTAAACCCTAATCCCCAAGCACAAACCATCAACCTCCAGCCGTGAAAGCCTGGAGCCCTTCAGAGACCACCCGTCCCGACCTGGCAAGCTGCCAAGGCCTCCAGGCAGCTGCGCGCCGCTCGGTTGCAGGTACTTCTAATATAGGACCTAACCCCCCAGGTACCTACTATTTTGGGCCCTAGGGGCTCTAGTACCCTATATAGTAGGTACCTGGGGGGTTAGGGGGAGCCTAAATAATTACTTTTTGCGGTTCCATATTATGGTAAAAGTAGAATATGCCCCAAAACCCTATTCTAATTATTAAGGCCCCTATATTACGGCCATGGTTAAGAGTTTCGAGTTAAGGGTGTTAGGGGGGGTGTTGGGGTTACTTCTTCGCGCCGTCCGCCTCAGTCTCCACATCAAGACCCAAAAAGCAGGTTCAGAGCGCACAGGACAACGAACGCGAGGGACCCCAAACCCCAATTAAACTAGAAGCTCTTAAACCCTAAACCCCACTAAACTGTCTGCAAACTCTCTAAACTTTGTATAAACCCTAAACAACCTTTAAATTGTAAACCCTAAACCCTACGCCCTAAACCCGAAGAGCCTGATTTTCTTCACATTTTTTGGGGGGGCTCTTTGCCAGGGTCTAGGGTTTAGGGGTTTAGGGTTTAGGGGTTTAGCCCTAAACCCTAAACCCTAAACCGGGCCGTTTAGGGGTTTAGCTCCCTCCAAGGTATGTCCAGGATTGGTCTGACTCCACCAAGTGGCCGGCGCCTCAGGGGTTTAGGGCTTCGGGGTATTGGGGTTTAGGGTTTGGGGTTTCAGGCATTAGGGTAGGGTTTAGGGTTTGGGGCTTCAGGTATTAGGGTAGGGTTTTGGGTTTGGGGTTTCAGGAATTAGGGTGTAGGGTGTAGGGTTTCAGGCATTAGGGCTCAGGGGTTAAAGTGTTAAGGTATTCGGGTTTGGGTTTAGGACCCAAGTCCTAATCCTAAGCCTTAAACTCTTACAAAACTTAAACACCTGAACACCTAAGCCCCAAACCCTTGCACCCTAAACCGCTAAGCCGCCTAAACAGCCTAAACCCAAACCCCTAAAGCCTGAAACCCTAAACCCGACAGACCCTGGTTCGACTCCTAAGCCTCTTCGAGCCTGCAAAACGCTGCGCCCTCTGCAACCCAGATCTTCCGATATCCTTTAGTTAGAGTTTAGGGGTTCAGGCTTCAGGGTTTCGGGTTTGGGGTTTATAGGGTTCAGGGAGGGTTTGGGGTTTAGGGCTCAGGGTTAGGGTTTAGGGCTTAGGGGTTTAGGGTGTAAGGGTTTAGGGGTTAAGGCTTTAGGGCTTAGGGGTTTGGGGTGTAGGGGTTTAGCGGTTTAGGCTTTAGGGGTTGGGGGTTTAGGGTGTAGGGCTTATGGGTTTAGGCTTTAGGGGTTTGGGGTTCAGGGTTAGGGTCTAGGGGTTTAGGGTGTAGTATACCTCAGATCATATTCGGCGCAATTTATGTGTCAGGGGATGTTGGAAGATGTGGGAATCCTTGTGGAAGCCCTAAACCCTAAACCCCCTTATTTAAGCCCCCTGGAGGAAACCTCATCGAGCCCAAGTTCGTCCGTGCAAAACTCCAGAACCTGAAACTTACTGCCTGAAGACATGGGGTAGAACCCTTATGCGACCCTTAAAGGCATCCCCCAGCAAGCCTTTAAGAGGAACCCTTAAAGACACTTAAAGGAATGCACCCCCCCCCCCCAACCAAAAAAAAAGAACAGGTGCTTCTTGTGCAACGATGAGGCGACCCTGGATCATCTCGAGGACCCGAGCTACATAATGTACTCTACTATACTGTAGTATACTACTAGTATCTTATGCTATACTATACTAACTATATTATACAAGACTATACTGTACTACAGTATACTTTACTACACTGTACGATTCTATAGTATACTGTAGCATACTAGAGTATTACTATAGTATATGATGATATACTTCCAGATTGGGGTTTACAGGGTTAGGGTTCGGGATTTAGAGACTAGGGTTTTGGGGCTATACGTGTGAGAGTGTATAAGGTTTAGGGTTCAGGATTCTGGGAATAGGGTCTTAAGGTTGTAAATGCGTTTCAAGCTTTTTGGGGTTTAGAGGTCCGGGGCTTAGCTGCCCCCCCCCCCTCACCCCCCTGTCCGCGAAGGACAGACGACATGCTGCAAGCAGATCGCGACTCTGGCTTATTCAACACTAGATATGGTCCGCAATCCCTAAAGGAGACTCTCAACCCCAGTCCTACACCCTGAACCCGACCATACGAGTCGTGAAAAACGTCCTGACCCCGGAGCCTTTAGTCAAGACGTCACTGCAGGAAGTATCTCAAGCATCTCTCCGTCAATCACCTAGGATAAATTGTGATAGAAGCATGTAGGCAAGTGTGTGCCACACATTTCCGTGCCTGCACGCATGCGTGAGCTGTTGTGCGTGTGTGTCTGTGTCTGTGTC